GCTCAGGCTGGTCTCGAACTCCTGAGCTCAAACGATCCGCCCGCCTCGGCCTCCCAGAGAGCTAGGATTACAGGCGTGAGCCACCACGCCCGGCCCTCTCTCTTTTTATTTTCCATATTCACAATAAATTTGAAGAAATTTTTACATATGTAAAGATGCATACGAAAAACTATTATTGTGACCTTGGTCAAGTAGTTCTACTCTTTTGTTAAATCAAGAGATGGATATCTAAGTTTCTTTACAATTCTCTGATTCTGTAATTCTTACTCTGAGCTGCTCTTCTGATTGGGCTTGAATGAAAACAATTTCAGAAAGCATCTGTAATTGGCACTGATGTAGACCTATATTAGATATATTCATAAATGTACTAAAGGCAACTAGTTAATAATAATTGTCACCTCTGTAGGAGTCAACGTCTTACGGGTATAGCAACACCTTTGCATTCTGTATCAAACATTTAGCAAAGAAATCAACAGGTATAACATTATCTTTCTGTAGATCTGCCAAAAAATTAGTTTTGTTAATTACCTGGAACAATGGCCTAACCAATATGGCTTTTCAAATATTCCTGTGTCATGCAATTTGTTAAAACCTGCCACAAAATTGGCACTAATTATGTGACATATTTTCATATAACATTTTTGGCAAATTGGAAAATATCATATAGATCAGCTGCATACTTGTCTACTTTCTTTTTTGAAAGATGGCATGGCAAAGTTAAATGTTCTATGTTTTATCAAAGAAAAATTGATGTATGATTTCTTGTCCTTGGGATTAAATGGAAGTCAATAGGAAAATGACTTAATAGGCAAATAATTCTCCACTACTTTTTCAGGAATGTGTACAATGGCAACATGAAAATAGTTATAGAAAATTTATGTTTTACACGAGATGTTTGCAGTATGACTTGGGTAGTTATCACTAACAAAACCTGTTTTCAAAAGCATAGTTTTTCAAAGATAAGAAGTGTTGTGAATGTGTTCAAGGGATGCAGCATCCATCTTTTATATCAATTGGCACAAGAAACTGGGACCATGTTTTCGTATCTTTGTTTCCATAGAGAGTTTGGCAGAGGACCTTGAACATTGGCCCCGAGTAAGTGCTGAATGGTTAAAGGAATTATTATGTATTCAGACACTGCTTCTTGCAGGTAAAACAGAGAGTATATACATTTTAAAGTCAGGATAAACCCAGACACCATTTATGCTTTTCACAGGTGAAAAGAGTAGTGCACACTTTTTTGAGAGTCAAATGAAGATTAGACACCCATGACTAAATCTTGACATTGCTTCACTTTTCATCCAGTTTCTTTGGTGACGTCCTATAGGCTAAGATTGCTTGAAGTCCTTCTAGAAGCTCTGATAGCATGGAATTGCTAGTTTGCTGGACAGAGTTTGTCCAACCCTGTGCATAAAAGAATCTGAATCCTTAGGAAGTTCTTCCTAATATGTCAACTAAATTCTTGATTCAGGTAATCTCCACCTTCTTATACTACATTCCTTAGAAGTGAAAAATGAGCATGTACCAGTCTGCCTTCCCCTCCTACATTTACAATATACACACAATCAATTCTGCTGTTTTTCAGCAAAATTCTACCTCAACTATCTCAGACAAACTGAATTGTTAAAAATGCTGTAGTATGAAGTTCAACCTTACCTCTCACTGTCCAGAGGTTTTCCCTTCATTCTAATGTAAATTCCCTTCCTTGTTCCTTGATGGTGGCAGGAAATTGGACCAAATAACCTCTTAAAACCATCTCAACTTAAAGATTTCAAATTTTACAGTACTTTGTCTATATAGTATAACTTCTAAAATAGGTACTTTTATTTCCCTAAATAAGCCAGATTCTCTTAGTTAAGAATTTTAGGATTAAATTATGAAAGCTGGGAGGTACTCTAAATATGTGAGGGTTTGTGTATATACTCGTTTATTCTTCAACTATATAAAACTATTCATGCCTAGTCAGCTGTGCTAGGCAAAAGTTATTTTTCTTAAAATTTACATATAAATGTCAGCTATTATAAGATTATTATTTTTATAATTACTACATATTAGAAAAGTCCTCAGTTTTAACCATATTATTTTATATTATTTATTACAGGACAGCATGAAAGAAATTGGTAGCAATTGCCTGAATAATGAATCTAACTTTTTTAAAAAACATTTATGTGATGATAATAAGGTAATGATAATTATTTGGAGTTTGTTTGTCACTCAGGCTTGATTTTTATAGAAGCTTATATATTTTGCGCCTCTGTTAGACAATTATATTAACTATATTAATAACATATTCTTCTGGGTATATCCACACAATTCCCATTTATCTATTAAATTATACTACGGTCTTCTTTATACTTTTGTTTTACAAATAACCCTATGCCTATTAGATAATTTTTTTCTGTTTTACCATTCTATTTTTCACCT